GATAATTCAAAAACGTTTATTGCTTCATTAGATACAGAAAACTATAACCCACATCCTCTCCAATTCTTGTAATTCTATCGACTAATATTGTAGATAGAGCTACAAGAATTGGAGAGGACGTGGGTTATATTTTTCTGTATGTAATGGAGCAATAAACATGTTTGACGTAACTCCCTCATTCTTACGCGAGTGATGCGATTTAATAACATCCCCAAGGGACACTTTGGAGGAGTCATCATCCATCATGAACACACACAGTTAGAGATTAAACAATAATGTTCATGTTACCTATTCATACTCATTCACCACATATCAAATCGTACCGTCGGCGATCAAATTATAACTTCAGCCGATTGTAATAAAAATGAGTTTATCCTACTCTTTACAATAGTTAGTATGAAAATACAAAAGATAAATCAAAATTAAACGGATTTTAAATGGCACGTAGTGAATTGTAGTTGCAGTAGAGCTCCTTGTGAAGAGTTCGTCCAGAGACATACTACCACCAGTAATGTGAGCGTTGCTACATTCCGGTTTTGAAAGATAAACTACAGGCATATGGGACATAACAACTTTATGTATCAGGGTGACAGGTGCAGTGATAGTAGCCATCAAATATTTGCGATTCATAACTCTGAGTGGCACTGTAAATCAGCTTGGGTCATGGAAAAATTTCCACTTTTGAAAATAATCATGATTTTTCAGAAAAATAAATATTTTTCCCAATATTTTTCCTTTAAATTTCCACGTTTGACGTTGAAATCTGTCAAAAGTTGAAGTTACTGAACGGAAACGATGGAGCTATTAAAAAGGATTTTTTTCGCTGTTGTGAAATCATTTATAAATTTCTCCTTTCTATAAGTTTCATTTAACTTTTAGTTATAATAGTTTATTTTAAATTTCATGCTAAAGAAAACTTCAAAAGATATTTTGAAACGTAGAACATAATAATGAGCCTTCGAAATTATATTTTTCCAATTTTTTAAATCGTACGGGTAGTTTTTAGAAAAAATCTCTACTAAATAATTTTTTTCGGAAAATTACCCAACAGTACACTGTAGTGCAATTGTTTGGGTAGATGTCTCGCTTATTATCAGGCGCACTTTAAATATATGCCTGTGAGGCGCACGGTTTGTTCTTCCCGTCAGTTGATATCATACAGAAAAAAACACAGCAGCAAATTCCTTCATTTGAGACCAGTTAATTAGTGTGATTTTCTATCATATTATTATTGTTATTTAATTTTAGATAATATATTTCCAAGATACGTAGGGCGCACTATACGTTTCCGGAATTGGCCACTTACAGAAACCAATCAAAGTGGCGCGCGTGGAAAGTGCCTCTAAGCGGTGATTGCTTCTATTTTTAATAAAACTAGACATGTGGCTACTGTTGCTTTGGAGAATCGTTATACCGTGAATAGTGATGGATACACGACCATGTGTTTGCCGGAAGTTATTGACAAACTCCGTAAAAATAATCGTAAACGCCGTATCATCTTACACCACTATAATGCCAGTTCTCACACGGCCAGACAGACAAATGAATTTTTGAAGGCGAACAAAGTTGACCTCATGAGCCATCCCGCGTACAGTCCCGACCTGGCACCTTGTGACTTTTATTTATTTCCAAAAATTAAGAACCAGTTACGCGGTCAACGATTTTCATGACCTGAAGAGGCTATCGCAGTATGAAAAATATGTTTCAGAGATTGTCACGGAGGAGTGGCATAAATATTTTCAAAATTGGTTCATTTGTATGAAAAAGTGTATTAACGCTAACGGAGAATAGTTTGAGAAACAAAAAGTTCATTTCTGACCATTTAAAGTATCTTTTTTCTTATTCACTCCGGAAACTTATAGTGCGCCCCACGTAGTAGCCATCAAAGTCCCGTACTGTGTTGGTAAACCAGAAAATAAAAAATCTAAAAAATCACTACTACTTTATGTATTTTTATGAATAATTAAAAAAACCTTACTTACGTTGTATAAATATGGTCTTCAAAGCGTAAAAACAGGCCACCATAAGAGAATAAAGAACCCTTCGTATTTGGTTGAAATAGCCACCAGAAATCATTAATATATATTTAAATATATATCACGAATTTTATCTTTGAAAACGAGCACGGGTAATTTACAATCTTAATGTTTAATACATTAAGGTATTTCTTTGTTTTTTATTATTTGGCTGGCACCGACTCCAAAAATAACTGATTAGATGTTGTAAATATTTAAGTATCAATTTTAGTGGTAAAATAAAACTTCAAACCGATCAGTAGGTAGCATATACGAATAATATTTTATTAAAATTATAGGTAATAGGTTTGGAAAAGAATTGTCACGTTGTAATTGTATAAATAAACCATAAATGTAGATTAAAATATACTGTAAAAAGTAGTAATTATAATATACTGTGTACAAAATGAAACAAGTCAAAAATAAATTAAAAGTTTTACCTGCACTTGGATTTAATCTGTATTTTGTAATTTTTCGCTTTTTAGTTATTATATTATTTATATTATTTTTCGCTTATTGACTTTTGTGATTTTTGAAGTTGGTTGTATTAAAAATGTTTATTGACGATAGACTCGCCTTGAATTTTCATACCGAACATATAAGTCCACTGAAAAAGTACACCAGCACTTCATAGCACTTTAAGGACAATTTTATTTAAGCCATCGTTTGTTTTCATTCAACGAGCGTGAAGTAAAACGTTCCGTGACCGAAAGGGACGGCCGTGCACTGAAAGCAAAGATGCTTCAAAGGCCTAACCGTTGCCATGTGCTGCTGTGTGTGGACTGAAAAATTCATTTCAATGATGTTAGGCAGTGGATTTTTCATGCAATCGTTACATTAAATGTAATTACAGTCAGCTTCAAAATGATTTTTAAAAATCCAAAAGGACAAAAGAAACACACACTCTCGGTGTAATAAAATCATAACTGCAAAATGACGACTTTTCATTAGAGAGGTTTAAAGTTTCTACTAACGAAATTAGTCGATAACTTTTTGATGAGAGTTATGAAATTTCAAATATACTTAATTGTTGCATGTAGTTCGTACTTTCATGGCTTTCATGTGATAAAAGCACTTTTGATGTATGTTCACATGTGGCTTTATTATACTAAAGCGTGAAACACATAGAGAGCGGGTGCGGACCGGGTCGGATCTGCCGCGGCCGCGGGTGTAAATCCGAAATGCGAGACGGACGCTCGCGCCCGCGCACGGTGTATTGTCGTCCATATAAATAAATGGAATTACACCCGCCGTTGTCCCGACCCGATCTGCACCCGACTCGCGCTAGCTCTCTGTATGTTTCACAGTTTAGGGTACGAAACAAAGATTACTTTGTACAAACCAATTTGCTTTACGAGTACAGCGACACCTGTAAACATGTTACGCTAGCAGTATTGATATAGTATACAGTTGAACTGTTGTACAACGACGACGAAGTGAAAATTGCTGTCATATAGATTGAGCTTCAAAAGGCGGCAGAATTCTTTTACGTCTGTAATCAAAAACTAGTTGAGCGGAAGATCAAATATTGAAACAAAAATGTAAATCATGTACAACGATAAGTATATAAAATTGTATAAATTATGGAGAATGATGTTTAAATTAACGCTTTTTAAAGTATACTGTTTACAACAACACGTGCAGTCTGTCTGGGTTTGGTATTCGCGGCGTGTGTTCGGCCACAGATTACCTAATAGTTATTAGTTCGGCGACGTACGTGTCCAATACGCATACCGTGTGCTGATCGGGTTGCCATAGTGCATTGACCACTACTAACCCGGGAATAAAGATAGGGTCTACGATGGAACGACCTCGACAAGAAGATGCCTATTCAGACTCATCTTAAAGATATTGGGGTTGTATGTACTCGGAAATACAGTTGCAGGCAGGAAATTCCATTCCTGTGCTGTGTGCATAATAAAAGATGACAAAAAGCGCTTAGTACGTCTGAAGACAATAAAGACCAAGTAGGGTTGATATCCCGTCGTACGTCTGGATGTCCGATGGTAAACTTGATGGTTTCATGGCAATCGGGAGAAAATACTGTGCATTTGCAATGGAACGCCTCTGAGTGAACTCTAAGAACGTCCTGCGTGTGTTCTCGGATGAGTAGGACTCGCCGCTCCTACGGAGATGGACTAAGCTACTTATTTAAAATTTAATTTATATAAGGCCTCAATGATCTTATACATAGCAAAACCCCTCCCGTCACCGCACACTGAACGGTCACTATAAATAACACGCGCAGCTACAGGCGGCAGATCTTTTTTCGACAGGCGCACCGAAGCTTTGTGGTTATAAAATTGTGAGGTTTAGTTAAATTTGAATAATTAGAGTGAGTACGCAATCTTTGTAACCAAGTATTGCAGTGTTTTAAATTAGTATTATTTTTTTGTTAAAATTGTAGGTAAAACGATAAAATTATAATCAGGTTTCCCTAAACTATGTAATAACGGGACGAACAAGTTATAATTACAGGTATTATAATAATAGTTTTGTAATATTATTAGTGTTTAGTAGCAGTAGAGCTCCTCGTGAAAAAGTTCGACGAATACTGCCACCATACTTATTTCTGCCTCCAAACACTAATATAAACATTACTGCGTTCCATTTTGGAAGGGTAAGGGTGGTGAAATTACAGGCTTATGGGACTTGTCAAATTATGTCTCATGGTGATGGGCGTAGTGGAAGTGCGTGTAGTAGGCGTGTAGCTTACCATCAGGCGCACGACTTGTTCGTCCCGTCACTTGATAATATAAAAAAAAATCCTTAAAATATTGTCCCTATAGTTAGAATAATATTAATACTAGCTCTTATAAGTTAATTGTTGCTAATACTATATGGATTTTATCTGAAATTAAAGTGTTATTATTTTTACAATTATTTTTCTTCTCATTGAAAATTGACCTCTTACTTTTTAGAAGGTTACAGGTATTTAGTATATAAACGCTAAACATGTTATTAGCTACAAAATGATAAACTTACCCAGTACAAGTCCAGATAGGAGCAGTAACAAGAGGAGCGGCCGCCCACGCATTTCGATAATCACAACCACTTCACACGGTATACAAATCAAATATAATCACTATTATACTGAAGTAGCACATCGCGCACACACACCAAATACACCTGTAATAAAAGAAAAAGTCACTTTTATTTTAGTAATTTAATAAATAACTTTTCTATAAAAAGTACCGACCCCAGAAGTTCATTCACCAGTTTTATTGAAATCAGTTACGGGAAAGTGCTAGTTTGCCTCCCTTAGGGATGGAATATTTTCTACAAACTTAAATTGTCGCCTTACTTTCTCAAATTTACGTATCATATAGCACAAAGTTACTCATCATCATCATCATCATATCAGCCGGAAGACGTCCACTGGTGAACTTAGGCCTCCCCCAAAGATTTTCAGACCAGCCGATTGGACACGACGTGCATCCATCGGTTACCCGCCGCCCTTACCAGGTCATCCGTACATTTAGTACGGAGCCGTCCCACTGAGCCTTCCGGTTCATGGTCTCCATTCGAGAACCATTCTGCGCCAACGGCCGTCAATTCTACGAGCTATGTGCCCTGCCCACTGCCACATCAAGTTGCTAATCCTTCGAGTTATGTCGGCGACTTTCGTTCTTCTACGGATTTCCTCATTTCTGATTCGATCACATAGAGAAATGCCGAGCATTGCTCGCTCCATAGCTTGTTGAGTCACTTTGAGCTTTTTTATGAGGTCCATAGTAAGTGACTACGTCTCAGAGTCGTAGGTCATCGGTGGCAACACGCACTGCTCGAAGACTTTTGTCTTTAAAGACTGCGGCATTTCGGACGAGAAGACGTCTCGAAGCTTCCCGAAAGCTGCCCAATCTAGTCGCATTCGACGATTGACCTCTTTTTCGAAGTTAGCCCTGACTAATTGGATGGTTTGTCCAAGGTAGACATATTCTTCAACAAATTTAAGAGTAGAGGGATACTTTGCAGGTGGCGGCTGATGGCCTTGACTGCGCCACCGGAAGAAAAGGACGAGCTGAAGGCTCATAACCCGTAAAATAAACTATAAAGTAAACTTAAAACTAAGTAGCGGGCATGAGGGCGCCCAAGTGGGCATGGACCTCGACTCAAGGCGCTACTGAAGACTTCAGTCAGAAGGGCGTGCTGTGGGAGAGAATCTACCACTGTACGTGCTGAAATGAGGGGCTCTACGACCTCGCCGGCGAGGACAGTTCGTGCGTGAGGAGAGGGACTAATTAGCGATCTGGTTGGCCTTCAAAGTAGCGAGAGTGATAGGGTCGTCAGGGTCGTTGAGGGCTTCTCTTGGCCGACGAGTCCTACGTACGCGATGGGGGTGTTCCCTGAGGGGGTCGTAGTTGGATGCAGCCACCATGAGGGGGTTGGGGTGGTTTCATGAATTGGGCTATTGTGGGGAGCCGTAAGCTCTATATTATGGAGGTTAGCGTTGCGCCGGTACCACGGGGCACTCGTAGCGTTGCGCATGATTCTATTTTGGAGTGTTATAGGGCTGGGTACGACATGGACATTCGACATAAGTTTCGTCTTGTCCATGTTCATTTTTAGACCCACTTGCTGGGAAACTCTATTGAGGTCACCGAGCATAATGCCAAGCTCTTCCAGCGATTCTGCCAGTGATGTACTCGCCATTGATGTTGATGCCGATTCCTTTCCAGTCCAGTAATTTGAAGGCATCTTCAATACAGTGGTGAACAGTTTCGGAGAAATGACGTCTCCCTGTCGCACCCCTCTTTGTAATTGAGTAGGCCTTGTGCACTGGTCCTGGAGTCGAACTGACATAGTAGCGTTTCTGTACAAACACTTCAACACTTCGATATATCGATAGTCAATCTCGATCGAATCAAAGGTTTCTCATAGTCCACAAACGCTAAGCATAATGGTAGATTATACTCCTCGGTCTTCTGTATAACCTGCCGCAGAGTGTGGATGTGGTCTATGGTACTGATGCTCTTTGGGAAACTGGCTTGTTCGGGGGGCTGAAAATCATCAAATCTGCGCGCGAGACCATTAGTGATGATGCGTGAAAACAGCTTATAAACGTGGCTTAGAAGCGAGATGGGCCTGTAATTCTTCAATAGGATATTATCTCCCTTTTTGAAGAAGAGTATCACCACGCTTTCATTTCACGCTTCTGGCGTATAACCTTCGAGAAAGATTGAATTAAAGAGCCTCTGAAGGACTCTAAGTACCGGTGTTCCACCCAAGGAGCAGTAAAGTCTATTAATACTCTAAAAACTAGTGTTCTTAAGTTTATTCTAGATATATTTAATTTATAGACATTCTGTAGTATTTGTACTTATTGACAAACACGTTATATAGCGTCTTCAGTAGATATTATTTAAAAAAATAATACAATTAGTGGTCTAATAATAATTGTATTTAAGCTGCTTGTTAATAATTCGAGGGATGTGCGATGTTGAAAAACATGTCGATATAGTCCATCACAGTGTTCTAACAGTAACGATCAAACTAGCGATGCATCAGCAATTGATAGATTAAACAAAATGATAAAATGTTAGAATCCCCACATTTTCCTCACATAGCGCCCATCCCAACAAAATCCCCAATCTAGTTGAAACTCCCCACAATTTGGGGAATTCCCCACAAATTGGCAACGCTGGATGCAATAGTCGTAATTCGCGCTCGGGCCGGTCATGGCCGGCATTTGTTTGTTGACAAATAAATAAACACTGTGAAGTAATTCCGTGTTATGAAATCATTGTATGAAATGTGGTTGGCGTGAAGAAATAACCTCCACTTTGTAATGAACGTTTTATTTCGTCCAACATAAGTTAGGTATGTCATTAAACTATTCCTTATATTTATATGATAGGGAATTTATGCACCTTTCTAGTCATATAATAGGGGTTAAAGTATGAAATTGCCGATTTGTACTGAAAATCTAAATTGTTTATTTTTTAAATTTTTAACAAATTTATTTAATCAAAATAGTTGCCATTATTATCTATACATTGCTGCCATCTAATGGGAAGGTTATTAATGCCTTTGCGATAGAACTCCGACGATCTAGACTGCACAAACTGTGTGAAAGCATTTTGTACTGCCTCCTGGGAACAAAACTTCTAGTCACGTAGATAATTGTCCAAATCACGAAAAAAATGGTAGTCCGTTGGAGCAAGGTCTGGTGAATACGGAGGATGACGAATGGTTTCTAACTGCAGTTCCTGAAAGGTCAAAATGGTTTCTCGTACTGTGTGAGGTCTCGCGTTGTCGTGGAGCAATAATGGTGAAGATCGATTCATGAGTCGGGGCTGTTTTACTGCTAGTTTTGTCAACATGGTTCGGAGTTCGGCACAATAGACATCTGCCGTTATTGCTTGACCAGATCGGAGAAAACTATAGTGAATAACACCATGCTGAGACCACCAAACAGTTACCATTACCTTTTTATTGGTAAGTTTTGCTTTAGGACACTGTTGTGGCATTTGACCTGGGGTCAGCCATTGCATTTTTCTTTTCCGGTTATCATAAAGAATCCACTTTTCATCACATGTTACAATTCGATCCAATATTCCTTCATTTCTGTACCGGTTCAACAAGGCAACACAAGTTTCAACACGCGTTTCTTTCTGTAGATCAGTCAAATCATGAGGCACCCATTTTTCGTATTTTTTTATTTTATTGATTTGACGCAAGTGAGTCAATATTGTGGGTAAGGTAACGTTAAATCATGCCGCTAATTCCTGGGTAGTTTGACTAGGATCGGCTCCCACTATCTCTCTTAATTCATCGTTGTTCACCTCTGTGGGCGGTCTTCCTCGTGCCTCGTTCTTTAAGTCGAAATTTCCATCACGAAAGCGTTTAAACCAAAATCGCACGGTGCGTTCATTAGTAGACCCCTCTCCAAACGCAGCATTGATATTGCGGGCTGTTTCTGCCGCGTTAGTTCCGCGTCGGAACTCGTATTCAAAAATCACTCGAATTTTCGCAGTATCCATCTTTCTTGTCTAAATTGAATACCAAAAACAATTGAAAGTCGATATTCAAATGTTACAAATTTAAAAAAAAAAAAATCACAGAAACCATTTGAAAAAAGTTTCATTCGAAAACCTCAAACCATGAAGATTCTATGAAAATTCAAAGAACCTATTGTAATAAAACGGCAATTTCATACTTTAACCCCTATATAACACATTCCATATAATTATACAGAATAACGTTTTTTTGCGACAAATTGGATTTTTTTAAATTGTTTATTGACCTAGTGTTTTGAAAAGTTTTTTATTGCATAACACGCTCAATATTCAATAACTTTATAATATAATTTCTTATAATTTCTGAGTGTTTTTTCTCAGTGTTCGATCTTTGTATTAATAATTATAAGAAACTAGTGGAGTAATTTCACAAAAAATAATTGAATATCAATTCAATAAAAATTTAATTAACTTTATAAAGGTTTTGTAATACTGTCAAAAGAAAAAATCACTTAGAAACATCGCGTTTTGTAGACAATCATAAAAACTTCATAGGAATGTAAGTTCTTCTACAAGGTCAAGTAAACAAAAGCAAGTAAAAATAATCTTTTTGTATTCTAAAGTTTTTCTGTAGATAAAGCTATAGACAAAATGCTCCCAACTGTGTTTTGAAAAAAGCTTTAAATTCTTATCGCCATTTTTATTTTTAAAGAATGACTATGAAGTAGCCGAGAAAAAATTCTTTTCTTTTTAAAAAGTAAATCTAAGTTGAAATTAGCTTAAAAAAGCCTAGAACTTCTTGGGAATGGTTTGTTTTGTGAGCTTTCTATAACTATTTAAAACCGAAAAACGATAACTGTATTTTTATTAAGTTTATATTTAATACATAAATATTTAAAATTTAGCGAGCGCATTACTTTTATGGCAGGTTTTACATCACTTTTCACAATGTATTTAAAGTCGCACGTCAATTTGCGCTTTCTAACCGAATAAACATTGGGCGAAAAAGTCCGAAATATTATATCTAATTTCGCCATGTTGCAATTTTGATAGTTTATATTTTGTAAGGCATTAAACATGAAA